TTAATCATAATTTCTTTTAAAAGCTTACGATTAATTTCTAAGTCATATAGTTCATTGTCTTGAATACACATCAGATTAACTTGAGTATGAAAGAAGTTTGGAAGGTTATTTTTATGATTACGCTTTCTACCCAGTGAATGATATAAAAGTTGTCACATGATTGCGAATAAACAAAACGTCACATTGTGTAGCATTTAAAAGTAGAATTTGATGATTCACCAAATTTTGCAGTTGCAAAATGTCGTATCTAGAAATTTATAAAAGACTGGGGTCTGGAAACTGATTAAGATATCCTTTTGTCTGAAAGTGTGGAGTGACATAACGGTTATTGGCACAGAAAACGGTAATCAGCTGTGTTCGATTTCCGGCTGTTTTGAATGTTCAGTTCGCAGTAATGCCCTTGGGAAATACTTCTTTTCAAAGCTGTGTCCCATCTCCAGATATCCAGACAAATGTCTTGTGGGTGACACACGAGGAAGGCTAATGGCGTTTAGTGTGGGTGAGTGCACTTAAGTCATTCTTCCGTAAGTAACTTACCTGCTCCCAAAGTAACAGCAAAAAGCTGCTATTCTCTTTGTCAAGTTTGACAATGACCAATAAAAATTATTTTCATTATTATTTGGTACTGCACGAAACAACATATTGTTCTCAGGAAGCGATATTCGGATAGCTGGAAAACGATTGTATATAAGTGTTGTGAGATAATCAGTTGTTGTGGTCGAATGAGAAACCGACGAAGTATATTATTATCCCTGAGATATTCATATTCATCCAGCATAACATAGTCTGATACAAGGCTAAAATAATTATAAAGAAAGATATGTTAAATTTTCCTCTTTAAAAATCAATCGAATTTCTGACTTTAATCTAAATTCGTTTCGTTATAAGAAATGTCAATGACATCGAAATGTATAGTTATTGTAAACATGAGGCAGTCAAACAGGGGTTATAAATATTAAGAACAAAGTAATAACAGCTAGTATAATTTTAATTTTAGGGCATGACTGATTGGCACGAATTTCTCTTTTTTTTCCTCTTAAATATTTCGTTTGTTGAATTTTACTGTAATCTTAATAGGCGATTATCCTTGAAGTTTGAGGGACGTTAAGTCAAATGCCACCAATGTTTATAGATTAACTTAATCATCTGGCACGAGGCTATAAAAGTTTAGATTCCTGATGAGGATCTACCCACTTAGACTATAGTATAGTTTCCAAGACTACCTCTATAATGGATATATATATTTATTAAGGATGTTTCACATCGTACACATATATAAGTCTACCATTCGTCAATGCATTGACTATATTTAGTCGTCCCCCCACGAGGGCGTCATGTGGCACAAGGCCTTTTTAACGTGGGCATTTCCGAGCCATTAGGCTCGGCCAAAAAAATAGCCCATTTGAACCCGCATAAACGGGTTCAGGGCCGGTTTAACCTCCCCGAAGGAGCCTGCGCCCTTCGGCGTAGCCTCGTTCGGGTACCTCCCCGCCCGAAGGCAGAGAGTTCAACCGTTCAGTCTGTCGTCCGTCAATGCATTGACTATTGCAGTCACACCTGGTCTGGCGCTTCTGATATGTATTTAGAATTCTTGATAAAATACAAAGAAAAATCTGCAATTTTATCAGTCCTGACCTAGCATCTCGGCTTCAGTCATTTTTACACAGCGGTAACGTAGTTTGCCTGTACTTTTTTTTTTATAAATATTTTAATGGTAATTGTTCTGATGAACTTTTGGAAGCAAATTGAATGCCATCTTTTTATATTAATATCAGTCTACTCTACTGACATTTATGACATCATTTGTTTGAGGTTTAATTAGACCATATACTTCTGGCATCAGTTTAATCTAATGTCTTCTTTTTTCCCATATTTTTAGCCTATAATTATAAACTATAATTTAGGAAATGAAATCAAGAAAATATGAACTGTACGCAGATAAATTGTAATAGATGGAACGAAAAGGAGACAGCAGTTTAAAATGGCACCACGAAGATATTCGTTAAAGTCTACACTGTCAAGAATTGGGAATCAAAATAATAAATCAACTAATTTACTAATCAGTCTTGTAGCTTAAAATCTACAAACGTTAATTCTTCTAAATATCTGTTCTATACACATAATAAATGTTCTATACACATAAATGTTCTATACACATAATAAATATTTTATAAACATAATAAATGTTTTGTAGATAAATCAATAAGTAGCGTAACGATGAAAAGAAATGCATTTCTTTTACACAAATATTTATTTTTATTCTTACTATTTTCCTTGCCAATGCACTTAATACATTTAGAGGTAGGTAAATCCTTAACCTAAGGTTAAAAAAGGTATTACTTTACCCACCAATTATTTAACTTTTCGTTACAATGCACTCAACATTCTTTATTAGTTACATAGATTATTATACTATGAACATTTCAGAATAACATTCAATTAATAAATATATCAAACTACGGACGTATTGGTTCACTATAGTATTAGCAAGTGTTACAATTCTGTTTCTCTTTTTGTTGTATTTCCTGTATGAGTTAGACTCATAAACCATCAGATGGAAATAAAACAAAAGATATATTCATTGTGATTTAGTATTTGTAAAGTATTTAATATGCGCTCAAAATCAAATATTAACAGATAACTTTCAACGCACACGTTAATCTTGTCCTTAAAAAATGCCAAAGATATTGTGGCGATATAAATCTTTGCAGAATCTTCTTGGAAGAAATCAAAATCGATCGAAGGTTAATTCATTTGGTTCGATTTTTGTATTCATGTTACATACATACAGCAAAGGCAAGCAATAAATCAATTTGGCTGTAAATTGATTAATTCGGAAGGATGCCAGTTTGATCTTTAGCTGACGGAAACTTCCAGATCTTTTCCTGCATCTGTGAAAATTGTCCTCTACTACCCCAGAAGGAAAAATAAGATAAATAATAAAACAAAATACCAACAAATACCTCGTCCTATAATTTTGATTTTAGAAAATACGTGATTGTTACACTATCATGTTACTAAAAGTGAAAGTTAATACGATTTCAAGTAATGTAAGTGCTCTGTGGAAAATGGAATCGATAACTCCAGTTCAAATTACAGCTGTTACAGTTACCTTGCGACGTCCTAGTAATATTGTCGCCTTACTTGACGTGAAATGTTTAAAAATGTATATATATATATATATATATATATATATATATATATATATATATATATATATATATATATATATATATGAACTTACTTCAAAAAACGTTTTCCTATTTGTCATACATCTTTAAAATTTTTGATATATAAAAATTTATATAAGATTTATAAATCGTTATCCATATATATATATATATATATATATATATATATATATATATATATATATATATATATATATATATATATAAACTGAGGCGAGAGTAATTTGATTAATGACTGTCTCAAGTGTACTTAACAGACTTTCCAGGAATTTGAAATCATGATTTCATTTCTCGCGTTGATAAACGCAGCGCTGCGTGCACATTCTGCTAGGGTTTTTTTTTTTAGAATATCATATCCCTTCAGAATCTAGGCGATCATGGCTCTCCACAGATAAATCTTCCTTATCTGTGAATTGCTACAACGTGGGTGATTTTTCCTTTATCTTCAGCACAATTATTTTTCAGCACGGAGTTGTTCTGGACTTGCTATCACCCAATACCAAAGAGTCCATTTTACCCTCTTGTTTAACCCAAACTTGGGTTGCAGAAGATATGTCAAGAGTATTGGTTTCTAATGTTAGGCTATTTATGGTACCAGTAGTAGCGAAGTATCATTGTCATCATTGTAAATTTAATGGAAATATGTTAGTCTCTTAAAACGAATATACATAGTCCATCCGATAGTAAAAAGGAGTTATACAATGGTAATAGTAAAATTCTCCGTTTCTATACAGGGAAAGATCATTGATCAAACAGTTAGCGTCACTCTCGGTTTATATAAACATTTTATTACAAGAGTTTAAGTAATAAGCTTTCTCAAGTTATCAACTGTTATCGTTGTTCTATTACTGATGGCAGTTTTCTTTCAAAGGTTTTTGGTAGCCTGGCAAATTAACAACTTTATTACATCACGATCTTCTCTTCAGATACACGTGCTACCTATTTTAGTTTTTGCTGCTTTTGGAAATCTTCAAGTTATATGGCATGTGTTTCTTAGCTCTTTGTAATTCTGTAATACCACTCTATTAGACCAGATGAAGGAATGTCGTCTTTAAAACGTAAATATTCATTCATCTGAAGCCATTTTATCCTTAATCTAAATAAATTAAATACTTCAGGTTTCGTACTGTACTACGATGCTTAACATTGTCATCACAAAAGCCAATTATTTAGTTTAGCCCTAACTTGGTGTTCCACTTATTTCCCTTGTGTCAGACTTAATATTAGCAAATTTTTGGCTATTTGTTATAGATAGTAAATCTTTCTCACAAATCATTCGTTATTGTATTTCCTTTTATTATCGCTAGGCACAAGTTTATTGTAACTTTGCGTCAAGCAAAGCTAATAAGTAAATAAAATACTGTGAGTTTTTGACAGTTATTGCTATTACTCGTTATAAACTCTTTGTTCCCTTTATTCTTCTAACGTGAGTTTCACCAAAAGCTCAGGCTTTATTTCTAAGCTGCGCTGTTTAGTTTGACAGCCTCGGGAAACTTGCGATACAATGCAACAAAAATTAAGATGTAATCATATACAATCAAAATTATTGATGATAAATAATGTTGATAGTTTAAACACATAAAAATTAAGACAATATAGCTATAAAAATAAATTCGTATAGACATTTTTTAATGTGTATCACGTTTTCTCTTCAAAATCGAAGTTTCATTTTTAATAGTAAATAATGGATAATATATTGTTATCTTTATGGAACTTATTATGCATATATTTACTTATATTGCTTTATTTTTTATAATACCTTTCACAGGATTATTTGTACTTTTTACGTAGCAATTAAATTATGAAAAGAAAAGTCTCTCTCTCACGCTGTCCCTCTCCCTGTCTCTCTAACTCCCTCTAACGCTCTTTGTCTCCGTTTCTGTCTTTCTGCCTCTCTCTGTCTCTGTCTATCATCCTCTCTCACTCTCAATGTCTCTCTCTGTCTCTCATACTCTCTGTCTGTCTTTCATAATCTTTCACTCTTTCTCTAAGTCTCTTTCTCTCACTCTCTGTCTCTCTCTCTCTTTTCTGTCTGTCTTTTTATTTTTCTCTTTTTCTCTCTTTCTGTGTCTGTCTGTCTCTTTCTGTGTCTGTCTGTCTCTTTTTCTATCTGTCTCTTTTTCTAGCTGTCTCTTTTTCTATCTGCCTGTCTCTCTCTGTTTCTATATATATACAGGACTATTGCGATGATCAGAAAACTAGTTTTTTACGCCCTACAAGTGAGTTTTATCGCCTATGGGCTCTGTACTACTGCTATTCAGTGACAACTGAACTGAGTAAAGAATTGAAATGTTTTCCCATATTTAATTTTTAAACATTCAAACAGAAAAATAGTAACTGATTTTCTTTTATTTCTATGGATAAAAAAATATATGAATCTGTCGTTATTACTTGACTATGTCCTTCTAAGATGAAGTTTTATTTTTCGCGATGTTGTTGTTTTGTAAATGAGCGTGATTGCTATTTGGTTATTTTGCCCCACCACCTACCCGTCAACATAATTTTTATTCTGTCTTAGACTTTCACAATGAAGTGTTTTGGGATTTTTTCTTAAGCGGTCCAGGCATAACAAGCGACTAGCAGAGAGTAGCAACACTCATAAGTAGTACAACAGCTATTTTTCATTTCATTGCCTTCGTTTGCTGTGGTCACAGGAATAACTCGATGCTCAAGTACAGTGAGAGGGAAGGAGTTATCGTTCTTGATGATGACGATGATGATGACGTCAGCACGGTGCCGACAGCGATTGTTGAAAAATCTCTAAAAAGTAGCAGTTTTATTTTGCTTTTTTTTTTTTTTATTTTACTTGGTTACTAAACTTGCTAAAACGCTGGATGATAGTGACCGATATATAGTTTGAGATAGAGATGAGTTTTATAATGATGATGATGATAATGATGATGATCCTTTGACCAGAGCTAGGGCGAAATCTATGCAATAGTAGCAGCAACAATAATATCAGCAGCAGCATCATATCAAGCTAGTCCCAGGATGTGGCTCGCTACATACGTGACAGTAACAATACTGCTGCCTATCTTTGTACTATAACAAGCCAATGACCGTGCAAGGAAGAACCCCAAACACTGACTCATCGCATCTCTCACGCCCATCTTTCGCGTCTCTTATCTCCATACTGCCAAACCTCCCCCAGCGTCCGCTTTTTGTATCTTTTCCAAATCCCTACTCTTCTTACTCAAGTCACTTTATTTCCACATCCCAACTGTACCTGCTATATTTCTTTACCCATTTTCTTTACCACGTATTTTTTACTTCCCTTTCTAAATCTCGCTCTGCTCCCTTTAAGAACATACAAACGTGTATGTACGTGCCCACATATTCACATACAAACAAATGGATGTTCTTTCTTTCGGACTTTTCTTTAATTTTTTCCAGAGCAACTTTTTGGTTTCTTCCTCTCTATCACTCACTCTCTGTCTTGCTCGATTTTATTTTTCTTCTTTGAATTCGCTGTCTCTTTTGGCGCTATCACTTCATTGCTGATTCACATAGCGCTCATTTTTTGGCTTCTATTTCTTGTTTAAATCTGTCATTTCGATCTTTTATAATTTCAATAAATTTTGCCACACACAAATTAGACACATGTACACTCAGACGCTTATATATATATATATATATATATATATATATATATATATATATATATATATATATATATATATATATATATAGGTGGATGCACAAATGATTTTATGCACACTTATAGGTATATTTTTGCGTATCTATCTCGATTTATATATATATATATATATCTATTCTGTATTTGGCTCTTTTCTTCAGCACTCAAATTCTCTCTCTCTCTCTCTCTCTCTCTCTCTCTCTCTCTCTCTCTCTAATTAAACCATAACTATATTTCTTTTTAAAGTTTTTGTCGATTATTTTCGGTCTTTCCTTCCGCTTGATATGTCTGTTGTATCCCCTTTTTTATTATTTTCTTTCTATAGTCATTTTTTCTCCATTTACACTTTCTCTAATTTTTAAACATTTCGTCATTTCTTTGATTATTCTTTCTTCTTTTATTTGGTATACACAATTTTCGCGATTTTTCTTTTACATTTCCGCCTTTTCTTATTTCCTTCTTCCATTAATTCGTTTATGCTTTCTTTCTTTGTCTCTCTCTTTCTTTGTCGCTCTTTCTTTCTCTTTCTTTGTCTCTTCCTTTCTTTGTCTCCCCCTTTCTTTGTTTCTCCCTTTCTTTATTTCTCCCTTTGTTTGTTTCTCCCTTTCTCTATTTCTCCCTTTCTTTGTATCTTTCTTTCTTTGTATATTCCTCTTTCTTTCTTTCTTTCTTTCTTTCTTTCTTTCTTTCTTTTTTCTTTCTTTTTTTTTTTCTTTCTTTCTTTCTTTCTTTCTTTTTTTTCTTTCTTTCTTTCTTCTTTCTTTCTTTCTTTCTTTCTTTCTTTCTTTCTTCTTTCTTTCTTTCTTTCTTTTTTCTTTCTTTCTTTCTTTCTTTCTTTTTTCTCTCTCTTTCTCTCTCTCTCTTTCTCGGCAGGGTTAGGGTTTCCTCTTTCTTTTTTTCAATCTATATCAATATAATTTTTCTTAAACTCTGCTTTTAAAGTTACATCTTTTGTCTTTCATTTCACTTTATTTATCTCCTTGTGCTTGGAGAATCTTTATTTCCTCCTTCCTCTCATGTTTTACTTAAATTCATAATCGACACAACTTTATTTTTAACTTTCTTACTTTTTCTATGTTTCCTTCTTGGTTTTTTTCCTTTCAATGCACTATTATAATTAAGTTATTCTATCCATATCCAGAATACTTTCATTAATCCGAAAAATAGAGGCAATATTTGTAAACTGGTTGTTCCTTTACTTCTTTTGCCACCTTTTCGATCTTATTGGCAGTGACTGATTAAAAATACATTGAATTAAAATATAATTACACTTCGCAAAACCCTTTTCAAGAATCTGAAGTACATAATTCACTTTTAATCCGAATTTTGTACTTTTAAAATAAAATAATCTAAAACTACTGGATCACATTTATTATAATTACACACAATAATATCTTTAACTAGAAACAGGAATAATGCGGCTACCATGCATCAGTCATTCAATTCTGTGCCATACGTGATACACACTTAGACTATCATGTATTCGATACATGACTGACGAGGCAGATTTTTCCCGCAGTAGGTTGCCATTTCTTTCTGCGCTACACCAATTTCCATCCAAGTCTATAGAACCCGGTATGTCCTGCTATTTACCCATAGCTAGTGGGAGAAGAACAGGATTTATACCTTTCCTAAGGTTATTAGAACGTAAGTGAATATAATGGGTTCAACTAGAATTCGAACTCGGCTCTCCGATTCCTCAGTCCGAGTCGCTGTTCATTACATCGCCGTGCCTATTAGTGACGGCAAATATATTTAATTCAATTGATAAAGTACCTAAATATCAATATGTATATAATGTGTACACCTTGTACAAAGAGATAGTTTTACAAATATATTTATAATAGTCATTGCTAGTAACTACTTAGTGATGTGCATTATTTCAGATTAGGGAAATACCTGGATGTTTACCCATTGTTTTGAAACTAATTTTCACTCAATACAAGCCACACAAGGTAGATAATTACTGAATGAGGAAGTAGGTAGTAGGTAAGGTCTGACTCTGGACTTGTAGTATTCAAGATTCAACATTCAGGTGGGTTCTTGATTCACAGAGTAGCGGTTCTTCGTAACTGTGTAATTGAATCTTCCTTCTTAAAAATGGAGCACAAAAAAGAATGAAGGTGATTCGACTCTGTGGATGTAGAAGAACGGGTCTTCTGTGTAAAGGTCTAAATTGGTGGAGCTAGAAAATGGAGCTCATCAGAACATTTACTGAGTAAATAACAGTAGAGTACCGATAGGCAGTAGGTGTGGGGCTATTGGGCGTAAAATAAATCATCCTCCAAAAGGGCCATGTAAACGTTTTTGAACTCTGTTAAGGAAAGTTAGGATTGAATAGATATGGCAGCAATATACTATTTTTGGTATGATCTGACTCTTGAAAGCATACATCGTCTAATGTGTTCGATCCTCGCAGTGTGTGCTATTTTGATGGTTAAACCCAATAAATAACTAGAAATGTCGAAAAACTGAAAATAATACTGGTACCTCATTTTAACCTTTACTAAAATTACACAAAAATATGTTGGAATACTAAAGAGTAAGTTTTTTTCAATAAAATCGCCATTGGCTTCAACCACGGACTCCAGACGACTTCGGAATCACCTGCAATTCTTCTGAACGGTCTCCTTGTTTAAGTTCGTGAATGCTGTCATAATCCTTGCCTTCAGTTCACCTTTGGTGTTATAAAGAGTTTAGTTCAAATGTGCCTCAAGGGCATTGTACTCCGGGGAGTTAGGTGGCCAGATGTAAAGGGTGATGTGGTTGCAGAAATTGTCTAACTGCTATGACTTGATTCTTCTGCTTGTGTTCCCTGGTGCAGTGCATTTGCCTGATGTAAAAGCCATCCTCTTGACCCAGGGAAGCATTATTTCCTCAAGGTACTTGTTGTAGGTCTCCGTGTTGAGTCTGAGTCTCTGTGGGAAGATGGATGGAGGCATAACATCGCCGTCACAAGTGATCACTCCAAACAACTTCGTAATCACCCTTAGGCTCATCCAACTCTTTCCGAATCCTCTGCACTGTCCTCAGATTTACACCTAAACATTCTGAAATGTTCGTATTGGAGTTTCTGGTGTGATAGAGCATGTCGTCTCTAAATTTCTGACGGAGTGATCTGCGTCATGGTGCTCTTTATCTCACATACAGTGACAAAGTGACCCTACTATAATGTGCAATCGAAAAATCAAAAAGAAACAATGCTCATTCACGAAATTAAAAATATAAAATGGCGACGATTTACCAATCGCAATTTGTATATAGAATTTTATTATAAAAAACGATTAATATTTAGTGATATTGAAGCATGTCTACTGAATCATCTGATATAAATCAAGTAAGGTGACTATTGAACATAAAATTTAAATTGAAATAACTTTTCTTGTGGAAAGAATAATTTACATACATGTTTAAAACAGAAGTTAGACAATTTTCAAAACATGGTTCATTATTTATAATGCATAAAGTATTTAGTTCATGTGGCAATATTTCTTAAAATTTTGTATGTTAGCGAATTCAAAAGGTAAATAAATAGAAACAATAATCTTCAATTGATTGGAAGATACGGGTAGCGTAGCGGTTAACAGCACGTAAAATAAAATCAGTGAAACGAGTTCAAATTTCAGCATAGCCATTGGTGTCTATTTTCGCACTGATTCATTTGGGAAAGTCATGAATTCATCTTTTTTTCCTCTCAGTAAGACTAGGATTATTAACCATGAGTGGCAGCCAGTCTAGGAGGATGTTCCCTATTGACTACTGTTGAAAGCCCTGGAGAAAGCCACGGGAACCACTTTCCAAATATATCTTGGATATTTTTAGATGATCAAGTAAAGGAAAACGTGGAGAGCCATTATCGCTTATGCTGTGACTGGAAATGGAATTTGAAAAAATTATTATTTTGACGTTCTATCAATATATTAATTTAAATTTAAAAATTGAAACATTATTTCATAAATGATTATCAAAAAATACATGTTATAAAATATATTTCTTTGCTAGCCTAAAAAGCGTAAAAAGTGAAGTACAAACTTTTATATAACAGAAAGATTTGACTGTCCCCAAGCCACCTAAAATAATGTCTGTTCGCTTTGATACTGAAGTTCAAAGTTCCTCGTCTGCTGTAGTTCATGTCGGAGGCTTGAAATAGGCTTGACTTCATGGCTTCACGGATTTTGCTACCGTAGAGTTTTTGCTGATTCTCAACACAACCTGCACCCCTAAAAACCTACGTCCCTAAAATTAAGTTTCTTCTTTTCTGTAATCAATGCCACACTGTTATATTTTGAGCCCAGGAATGCTCAATATTATTTCAGATTTCAGATGGAAATTTACTCGATCAGAAAAATATTTTTTTACAACTTAATTTTTCCGTTGTTAAGGAATTTAAGTAAAATAGATTGATTCGAGCAGAACTCGAACTATACGAGATTCTGCTATAATATAATTAGTATAGTAAATTGTGCGAATATTTATCGCGGAATCTCAAACATAAGATTTCGCTTTTCATTCTATTAATGTTTCCATTCCCATCATCGTCAAAACATTATCAACATGTAGAAAGGATTAACATATTTATGAAAAATATCCCCGTAGATAATCATTATTTTATTAATAATCAAGTCTTCTGGATTTTATCAATGTTGATTTCATCCTAAATTTGATTAACAATCAACTTTGCTTGATTGTGATTTTGTTAATGTTTCCATGTTCCATTCTCTTGCATAAATAAATAATAAGCAAATAATAATCAAATCGAAAGTGAAAATTATCCTTGAAATTTATCAATATTCGATTAACAATCAATTCGACTTGGTTTTTTGATATTTCAATATTAATTTCCATTATTCATTCAACCTTTCTGAGGATGAGGTAAATAACATTTGAAATGTAAAAACTTCTTACGATTTTGTTTAAAAGAATACTGATTATTTGAATGTCGCAATATAAAAAGCTATGCTTTTCTGTGTAACTGGTATTTTTTAATTCGAGGACGTATCCGAGTGTTTCACAACACTGCCCTCTTGGTAATTCTGACCACTCAGTGGTAGCTAATGATATTTCGTTCAACCATCTATTAAACAGGAACTCTATATCCATAAGATCTCTTTCCGTTACCAGCATGATGGCTGGAACTCATTCCGTGAGTTTCTTCGTGATGCCCCATTGGACTGATAGCTTTAACCTTCCAATTGATAATTGAGCCACTGAGGTTTTTTCTTGGCTCA